TAAAAAATTCATTCATTAAATATCAAAATTCGATATCTAGTTCAAAAATAAGTCTAGAATAATTTTATTTTTATATGATATATTTTCCTAATACTTAATAGTTGGCATATAAAATCTATATTTTCCTTATATTCAACAGACCAGCATATTGGGGTATATTAGACCTTACCAGAGAAAGTTTGTTTAATTAGAAAGAAATTGATCATAAATTGTTAAATATTACAGCACAAATTTTCACTAGTAAGATTAAATGGCTTCCAAAACCAGCTTCTAAAAAATTGCAAGAATACTTTAATAACAAATGCAAAGTTGTTGTTCATGGATTTGAAAAATTACATATTAATATTCAGTTTATGTAAGTAAGATAAGTGAGATTCAGTTTAAAATTTTTACTAAAATTTAATTACTGTGATTATACAGTAAATTATATATGGATCAATTAAAAAATTTTATAAGCAAACAAGAATTGAAAATGACCACAATATTTTCACTAATTTATAGAATATTTTCATTAGATATAATAAATGATAAATGGTAAGATAATATTGTTTAAAAGTAAAGTCTAGAACAAGTAGGTGTGTTTTTAAGAATCTGCTTAATTTTAAAGGAGAAGTTCAGTCTTTAGCAACTAATGAAGCCCGCAATAAGACATATAACCCTTTTCAATAAGCCAAAGTTGGCCATAAAGCAGATATGAAAGGAATATTAATAAATACTTTATGCAAATTAGAGGCCTTGTATAGTAAAGTATCTGGAGGTTTAGGTTCTTTTGGTCTATCGATAGCAAGTAGAAAGAAAAAGTATCTTGATAAAGTCAAATTATCTATAATAATGCAAGATTCAATTAATATGGCTTTAAAGCAATAGAAGCATATTAGTGATGAAGACAGAAAATCTCTAGTTCTATATAGATTTATACAAGATGGTATGTCAATCTTACTCAATTTCATATATTTTATAAGAGCCATTATTAAAGTAAATTTTTTAGGACTTGAAATAAATATTTATGCAATGTTTTGGTTTGAAGAAATTTATCTTTTTGGTAGAATTAACTTTTGCATGGTTCCATCAGAGAAGGATAATAGTTATTATTTGAAGATATTTACTGTGTTCTTAAAGAACTCGAAGTATGTATTATTAACTTTTAATACAATCTAAATTTTAAATTTTGAATTATATTAAACTTTAAAATTATAGTTAAAATTAAAGAAAACAGAAGAAATTGTAAGAAATCTCAATAGCAAAAATATAAGAAATAAAAGAAGATTAATGTCCAAAGAGAATATTCCTAATTTAAATAAAAACAGAACAACAAAAAATCAAAATAAATAATAACTACAGTAGAATGATGAAAAACTTAAAAATAAATATTTAAATTAGTTTCTTGCAGAACTAGAAAATCTGTTTGTATATTATCAGCATGCTTTTTTCTTTTATACATATATAAGTTAAACAAAACAAATACCTATTGCTAGATAACAACTCATAAGGTTTTTCTTATACATATTTGTATTATTTTAAAATTAAGTACTTAATTCAAATAATTCGCAGGAATGTAGTTATAATTCATAGATTTAATTTTAATATTTAAAATTACCTGTAGATTATTTATTTTATTTACTATTGCTAGATAACAATTCATAAGGTTTTTCTTACATATCATTTGAATTATTCTAAATTAAGAACTTATCTCAAATAATTCAAATAAATACAATTTAAAAAAGTGATTGAATTTTTTAAAAATAATACTTGATAAACAAAAATAAAATATTTTAATTTGGTCTAAGTTTTTTTTACCTGGAAGAAATTATATTTTGACCGGGTCAAAATGACACCCTCAATTTAGGGTTATTGCTGAATTTGAAGTATATAAATTTTGGCCTAATAGAGCATGAATTTAGGCTAAATCAGAATAAAAAAATTTGGGCAGATATAGAGTGTGAATTTGGGCTAATTCAGAGGATAAATTGAGCTAAATTAACAACTAAGTTGAATTGTGTCATAAAATCTTGAATTAAATAATCATATTCTTGACTCAAATTAAGCTCAATTTAGACCAATATTTGTAATTTCATCCCTGAGTGCTATTTTGAGATTTTATATAGTATAAATTGGGCCGAATTAAATTGTAAATT